CCGGGGCCTGATTATCCTTTGCCCTGCACCTTGTGTAGTCATCCAGACCAATGCAAAGAGACAGCAAAATGCTGCCAAATCAGAATAGAAGAGTATTACTCTCACTTTGCATTGGCGTAAATCACTACACGAGGTATAGAGAAAGAGAGAATCAGGTCCCAGATTCCTTGTGTCAACTAAGAAAAGTATTGTATCAAAGGGGTAGCCGTGTTAGTCTGGATGTGTAAAAGCAGCAAAGAGTCCTGTGGCACCTTATAGACTAACAGACGTACAGGAGCATGAGCTTTCGTGCGTGAAAGAAAAGTATTGTGGCTCCAAACTTCCTTCCTTTTGTCAGGACAATACTATACAGTAATTGTATGTTTTTAAAGATTGTTTCTGTTTAGTGCTTCAACTACATCTTCCATTTGATTGCTAAACATGAAGTTCAGGCATTCTTTAGACTCACCAAACAAAAATAATAATCCAAGGAATAAGCCCAGACAGAGCAGGTTGATTTATTTAAAAGTATCCCTTATATAAAAATATTTTCTGTGTAAAAAAAAAAAAAATAGATTTTCCATTGGCAATGACCAGTTTGCATTGCATTGCCAGCAGAAACTAGGCCCAAGGTTGTTGTAACCAGCACAGAGAAGCTCATCCTTAGTACAAAGGTGATTCTCTGGTGGTGTAGAGTTGGTATGGGGCTTCTGATCTCATTCCACATCCCTGCTGCCAGCATAACAAGAAAAGCTGTCCAGAAGAAGGAAAGTGTAGCTGAGACACTCTACTCTGGTCAGATCTCCTACTGCAGTTTCAGCTTCATGTGGTCATTTGCACAACTAAGAGCACTCTGCCAACCATGCACAGAGTTAGCATCAGGATCCAGCCAATAGAGAGGGAAACTTTAAATCATCTTTGGACACACACCCTGACATGAGTGCTGTCCAGTTCATCCGGACATCAGGATCTTAACTTACAACTTGGCTCGGCAGGATTTTTAAGAGCCAAATCATAGACCAGTGAGTGTGGCCACATAGGTGAGAAAGGGAGAGTAAGGCAACCCAACCCAACACTCCTGCATATCCTTACAGGATCTGGGGTCCAGTCAGGTAGGGATAAGCAGGTTCAGTACACCCACTAGGTACCTCTCTCCCATTCAGATGGGCATGGAATCTAGATTCTGTCTCCCAGTGCACCAGCCAGTACAGCTGAGCAGGTGGTGGGAGGTGGGTAGTAAGCTACTGCTAGTATTGTGTAACTTCTGCCATGGAACACGGTGGAAGCCATGGATGGAATCATAGTTCCTAGCTATGTGCCACTCCTTACACAGGGCAGGCAATAAAACTACAATCTAGCCATTATTTATATTTGCCCATTTGTTTATCATCAAATGTAAAATATACATCTAAACTAAGGAAATTCATTGTGTCTTGTCATTATCTCTGTGTGATCTGCAGAGCCTCTCAAGCAAAGCTGATGGCATTGACTGCTCCCCAACCTATATAAAAGCTTTTTAAAAACAGGAAAACATTTGTACCTATTCAGAATTTAGTTAGCTAGTATACCACTGGGTTCTGTGAAAACATATGTGGTTAGTAGGCTACTTTAAAAGAAGTGTGCTTGTAAAATATGTTCTTTTAAAATCTCTTTCCATTGCCACAATTCTCTGGACAAAATAACCAAAAACTTGTTGTTTCTGAGATTTAACTTTGTATCAGCCTACTTCCTGTCTTACTAAACCTGCCTTCAAAATATAGGCGGTTGTATTTCTCATAGCAGCTGTGCTCCAGTAGAACAAAATCAAACTGTCCCCTGCCAGACACATGTGATGAGTAATTTCTTATGGGCATTAATGATGGAGAGCTAGTCACCTCTAGGTTGATCTTGAGGTTGAAAAAACCTCCACTGGATGGAGTGCATCTACAGTAACTCAAGGCAAAGCCATAGAGAGGTGCTGACCTTAAGCTTCAAGACAAGCAGCAAAGCAGTAAGCCTAGTACATAACCTACATTATTTTCAATGCCATCAAGTTGCAGCTCCAACAAGCAGTTTGAAAGCTCCTAAAACAGACCTTTCTTCTTCATATGGACCATAGCACGTAGGTCACTAAACGTTTTTGCCCTTTCCATTCAATGGTCAGAAAACTATAGATATATTCCCCTTTATGATCATGGTTGGGGAATATATTTGAAGGGCCCAGTTTATTTGTTTGGTATGTCATTCCCTAGCTATCTTGCCAACATGGTTGATGGAATGAAGAGAGTCCCCTGTTTGTTTGGAATACTTCATACCATTGATGGGTGGACTACCTTCTTTTTACTGCCAGTAGCTGCCCTTTTAAGGTTATTCCCTGTGGGGAATGGAATTAGTTCACGAATCATTCAGGGGAGAGTTGCCTCCAAAACATAAGAGCATAGTAGTGCCGAGAAACCTCTGTAAATATTAACCATATCAGTTGCTCTATACCATATAACAACTGCCCCGGGTAGTGTCACAGAGGGAACAGAGAATGCTTTTCATAGCATCTATTTCATAGCCTCCAGAAAGAGTGGTGGGTGTTGATAGTTGAGAGGGCTGAATTTCCCTTGAAGAATTGGAATTCCAGTGAACAAGGGTTTCCTTTATACCAGTTGTTTTTTCTGTGCCAAGTCCGTTCAGGTAAGCAGTAATAAGTAATCTATTATTTGCTAGTCAATAACACTTGGATTTCCTGACCTTTTATTTATCTAGATTGGAGATGTAATAAATTATACAGGTTTGAATTAACACTGACATTTTTTAAATTATACTGTTGTTCTTCTACTCTCCCCAGTCAAGTTTATTTCCTAAAATTTCTGTTTTCACTCTGACAAGCTCGTTTATGCTAGATACACTTCTTAGAACCAAGAATTTAATCTAACTGAATTATAGATACTAATGGGAAAGTCAAAGTCAAAGATAGTTCAGATAGGACAAGGCACTGCTTCTCTTTAATTGATACTTGATCTATAAGAAACTGGTGTAAGTTTGGGATATATCACACATGGAGTCAGCCTCATCTTTTAACCTCAGTTTTCATTATGTTGCATTGTAACCCAACATGACAGGATGCAGTGTGATGCAACAGGCTACAGTTTTTGAAGAGGAATCAAGAGAATTCTTTCCCCCCCCCCCCCCAATGGCACTGTAGACGGTGTCATGTTATGAATAAAGTATCCAGATGAAAAAAAATTAGATGAGAAAGGATTAACAGTATCCTTGAACTGGTAGATTCAGTCTAATTACTCTAATTTAATTTGGGCAGTTTGACACATCTCTAGTTGAACCATAGCTTAAGGGAAACAATTAAATAAGGGTTAGAGGGGAGTAATAATTTCTGAAGAAGGTGCTAAACGTCTGCAGGATCAGTAGCTCCTTAGAATAGCTTACAGCATAAAAAGTTAAACTTGTGTAACTAGAAATCTTCATGAGTTTGGCCCCTTCTCAATGACATCTGTAATTTCTGGATCATAATAATTACTTAGCTCAGAGTTAATTGGTTTTAAGTCTTAAATCCTAATGCAGTGTTAAGTCTTCACATGCAGCGATTGTAGTTTAACCCCTACATTTCTTTTACATATTGCAGTATTTCTTGGCTCTTTTGTTGTAACTAGATAAAATTTTCTTTCTAGTATCATCCAGGAGAATAAATGATAGTTGCCTTAATTGTTTCATTGATCTCTAGATACTTATTCAACCCTAATTCCAGCATTATTCATCTCAAAACTGTAGAAGGGCCAAATTTTTAATGATATTTAGGCACTAAAGATGCAGATAGTGCCTAGTGGGGTTTTCAGAAGCACAGAGGTGTCTAACTCCAAATTCCCAGTAGTCATCTATCTTTTGATGTTTATATACCTTTAAAATTCTTGCTCTTAATTACTAGTGTAGAAGTTAGTGTCAGTAAACAGGTTGGGTTTTACAACAAAGTGAATTCAAGGATCTGCCCTAGACTGACGACAATTGTAACGTGTTCAGTAGCTCTTCAGGGCAGCTAAGAAGCTTTTACAACAGTTTCCATGCAGCTTTGTGTTTTACTGTCTAGCTGAACTTCACCTTTTTGACAATAAAATATATAGAGGGCATCAATATTTCTCTCATTCTCATTAACTACAGTGAGAGATGACAAATATCTTGAATGTAGATATATGAATGATACCTATATAACCAAGAGAGATTACAGTACAGTATATTATTGACTTACTCCAGTGTTCCCGACTTATCTTTCCACAGTTGTTCTAGTTAAAATAGAATCAGTTCGACATTTTTCTTATCTTCAGGCATGCTGTATAACTATCTATAAGCTTATAAGATATTTTGAGAGTAAGAATCTGTTTCTACTACCATATTCCCTTATGGCCCCCAATATGTGTATTATACAGGACCTAACACAAAGGGGTCCCCAGTCTCAGCTGGTGCCTTTGGGTGCTACCATGATACAAGTAATTAATAATTTTTAAATTCCATTTCTTTCTAAATCATAATCTAGTATATATGCAAAAATGTTTGCAAAACACAGGTGGAGCTGAAACCTATCAGAATCTTTTTTTAGTCCGTATGTGATTTGAAAACTAATGAATAAATAAAATGTATTTCTATAGTTTACAATTCAAAACATGGCTAAAATCTCAGAAAGCATGATTAGCTATCCCTAGATGATATTTCCATTTTGATGTGTCCATATTATTTCATACTCTCTGTCCCTCCTTCCATGTAGAAATAGAGCTTCTCCTGTTTTTCTCTTTCATATAAGAACAAATGAGAGGCTATATAAGGAAGATGCCCAAATGTAACTGTCAATAGGCGTCAGTATGATGGAGTGCAGTACTTTTTAGGCTGTGGCTAAATGCTTTGTGTCATGCAGTGATATATGAATAATCTCTGGCTGTGTGGACTTTTTATAAAGCAAAAGTAAAACTGGGAGTGTACTGTTTGCTGGCTGTACTATTCATGTTTTTGTGGTTTTAAGCTAATTATTTTTCTTTTCTTTTTTTTTAAAGTCAATTGACCCTGGCCAGCAGTTCACATGGGAGCATTCTAACCTGGAAGTAAACAAACCAAAGAATAGATATGCAAATGTAATTGCATATGACCATTCTCGTGTTCTACTTTCAGCAATAGAAGGTAAGGAGCTATTTAACAATTTAAACTCATTAAATATTAAATGCTAATGTAATAATTTTACCACTTCTTGTCAATTAAATTAATAGCATTAAATTCATGTAATAATCATCCTTTTTCAGTGTTCATTTGCAGTAATTCAATAACACGAAGCATTAAAAGCTAGACAAGGTCATATATAGCAAGAGGGAAACTTCTTACTCAACACATCTGCTCCTTGTGTGTATGCCAAGTCTTATCTACTTACTTTTTTGACAAAAAATTGTCGCTACTTTTTTACTCCTAACAGCACAACTATTAGGGAGTGTGAGATGGTTTCTTGTCTGGCTCTCCCATTATCAGTATAATGGATAACTCATTTTCATTTGCCAAATCTTTAGTGATGCTGATAACACACGAGCCAGAAAGAACAGAGCTTGGCTTTCTCGTCTCAGACTGAGTATGCAGAACTGGCAGTTAGAAAACCCAACTTTTTACTTGTGAACTAAACACATTTTTTTGGAAGTCACTGACAGACAACAACTGAATTTCAGGTACTTGTGTTACTGGAAACTCAAATGTCGTTGCCTGTAGATGGACATGGTAGTATAAATGACAAGGTTTTAGTTGTAGCTATCTTTGACAGACAGTTTTGCAAAGATCTGATCATGTAGTGTGCTTCCCTGTGGTGAGTGAACTAGGCTATCCAAGATGATGGGCTCTATACAGTTTGTCTAGTTTCCCAAGTGCTAAAACAACAGGAGTAAAGATTATCCATCAGAAGATTTTTTCCACTGGCTACCTCTCACTACCTACCCAAGCTGCTTCTTGGAATTAAGGCAGATTTTCAGTTTATTCTACACAGCTGGCCACCATGTATTAGTGATGTCAGTAATATAATTGATTACATATTTAAGTGGGACCATTTAAATGAAAATAAAAATTGCCTTTAGTAAGCTTTGATAGATCTTGTATATTGAATTGGCTTTAAAATTATAGAGGACTTTCAGTCCTTGTATCTTGTATGCAAAGACATAGTTGCTTCATTCTTAACATTCTATATGTTAAATTGTGCAGTGTTTTAATCTACATTGTGAACACCTTATCTTTGGCTACTCCAAGCCTGCAGACATGGGATATAGTAGTGACGGTATTTATAGGTGTAATCAATTCTCTAATATGCTATGCACAGCCAAGTAAATGCTCGGTGAAGGAAAACACAATTCCACTGGTTGAGCTTTCCCTCTTTGCCTAATTTATTGCAGCTGCATATTGTACGCTTTGATAACACAGACACAGTTTCTCAAGTATATTAGAAAATTTAAATGATTGCCTTGAAAAATTTGCATATAATAATCATCTTACATTTGTTCCACCTATGGAGCTCATTTAACTGGTATTGACTAAATTTTTCAGTGGTGTCAGTTACATTTCCTCATATTACTTTATAGAAATATCTAGCTGAACACCAACGAGTTTACTAAAATTAGAGTTGTCTCTGTTGTTGGTTAGATTCTCATGCTGTTGCTTTGTTGTAGTTCAGCACACAAAACAACAACAACTTCATAAAGAGAGGATAGGTAAATAGTATAAAAACCAGCCAAACAAAAACCAAACCACTGTGCAGTGATGCTCTTCTGAATTGTTTACCATTTTCTCCAAAGTACATTTAAAGTCACAAGTAAACTAGTTCTAAAGCAAGGAAAATAATTTGTCACTGTATGTTGGCTGGGAAGAGAGTTGAGTAACTGTCAAAAGAGAAGAGCATTTAATTTCAAATAAATCCATTTGTTGACTCATAAGTGAATTAAGAGATGACTGGGTTTGAAAAGGCCTGCCAGATTCCCCTTAACAAGTGACCCTGGAAATTAACATGTTTTGAAGATGTGATCAAAATGTGAAAAAGAAAAAAAAACCCATAGAAATAACACTCAGTTAAACAAGGTTAATCAAATTACCCAGTAGACTAACTTTTTAAAATAAAAATTATGAGAATAAAAGAAAAGTTCTAAATAATACTTTTGCAAGTGTAGTATTTGCAGAAAAGGATTCTACCTGGTAAAGAAATACTTAAAGGGATTGAGAAAACATAAATGCTAACTGTAATGTTTGATTTCCCTTTTTAATGGCATAAATAACCTGAGGAGGTTAAAGTGACTAACTCTTTAAAAATGCAATTGATCCTAAGTGCATAAAACATAATTATAGCCATATAAAATATCAGTGATAGGCTTACACACACACATAGCTTTTTGACTCAACCTGGTGATTTACCTACCTTTATAAACTTTTCAGACCTCAATTTACGACAACCAAAGCAACATAAATTGAAATGTTTGCTTGTGTTAAAATGACGTGACTTGAAATAAGCAATATGTTAACGATTTAACTCCTGGTTTCTGAAGAGATTTTCTATTGATATATGTCTGAGTTCTTTTATGTATCTAACTTGCTAAATTTAATATACTGGCTTAACATTGTTTAATAAGTGTTTCTTTTTCAAGCGTCAATACTTCATTACACTGTTTTGTCAGTCTATAAATAAAAATAAACATTCCTGGTTGGAAAATACATAGGCTACCTAGTATTTCATTTGACAGCTGCATTTGTTTTCAAGCTGCCATGGAAATGAATGCTTTTATATTGTTACAGGAATATGTTTCAGAGTGGCACTAGCCACATAGGTCAGGCCCAGCGGCTGGACTATATTGCATTTGTTATAACCTCATGAGAATCATTGTTCACTATTTTAAATACCTATGGGCCTCATCCAAAGCTCACTGAGGTCAATTGAAAGACTCCCATTAATGTCAATGGGTTTTGGATCCAGTCCTGTGTTCTTTCTAAAATTCTCTATTGAGAAATCTATCCAGCTACAAAAAAGCACCCCATCCCCAAATAATAACATCAGGTGCTTAGAACGTCTCAGTCAGACGTGTGTTTTGTTTTTTGCAACTGTAGTACTTAACAATCTATCAAGGTATGGTGACCCCCACCTCTGTAATGTTTGAGGACCTCACAAACATTAATGAGTTTATCATTCCTGTGAAGAACTGAAGTACAGAGAGATTGAGTTATGTGCCCAAGATCACAAAGGGAGAGCCAGGGATCTAACTCAGATCTCCCGAGTCCTAGTCCAGTGCCTAAACAAGCACTATTTGCACAACTGTGATAGCTTTGTTATTCATGCTGTTGCACAAACAAAGAACATAGAAATTGCCAGACTGAAGTGGATCCAAGATCCATCTAGTCCAGTATCCTGTCTCTGACAGTGGCCAGGACCAGATGCTTCAGAGGAAGATTTAAGAACCCAGCTGTAGACAGATGTGGGATAATCTGCTTCCCTCATCTCTAAAAGTTAAAAATTGACTTAAGGCCTAAATCGTGGGGTTAAAGATCTCTTCCAAAAGTTTTATTAGCATTAGCTGTTGTATTCTTGTTATACCTTCAAACATCCAGTCCCTTTTTTGAATCTTTCTAAGTTCATGGATTCAACAACTTTCTTTGGCAATGAGTTCCACAGTCAACACTGAATATTGTGTAAACGGATAATGGTTTTGAATTTGCAATATTTTAATTTTTTTTTCATTAAATGCCATGTTAGGAGGTAAACCCAAGTTGGTTATGTTCATTTCAATTTCTGTCTGAGGAAAATTTCATTTGGCAGAATTCTGCTCCGGTGTGCAAGTTGAATCTCATCTCTGATATTGTGCTGTTTTTGGATGTGTCTGGGAGGGACACATGCACGGAGAGAAGAAGGTGAAGCTCTATAGTACTAGAAGGGAACAGAAGATCAGAAATGAGATCTGACGTATGGATCTGTGTAAATCTGAGAGTAGAAATTTGCCCCATATTTGTTAAGCACAAACAGATAAAGTTAGCACAAATAGAAAATTCATTTTAAACTTTAAAAGAGGGTTTAAAAATAGTGGGAAATAAAATATTTTTCAAATGCATGTACAAAAAGGCTTCCAGTTCTTGTTCGGAGGCATCTAAGACTAAAAATCTGTGATCTGTGTTTGGATTTGCATAATACTAGCAATTGAAAAAAATCAAGTGTAAATAATATCTATCATATCACAACTGCTTGATTATTTCTGTTGGGCAGTTTAGCACCTTTAAAATTAGATTGGGCATTGGAATAAATCTGTGCATATAAGAAAAATCTTAGGGAAAAAAAAGGCAAGAAACTGCTAATATTCTTATTTTATATTGAGTCACCAGTTACCACTAAATTGGCATTCACTATTTAGGTCATGATCTTTAGCTGTAGAAGGTATTATGACAAATTTATATTGTTAAATACTTACTGAACAGTTAAGGGCAACTGCGGTGTACTGCAATCTGGTTACTCATGCTCTCTGTCACACTGCAGTTGTATTATGTTCTGTTCATAAAACAAAACCAAATGTTTAGGGTGATTTCCTGTCCCTTCCCATCCGCAAGCAACGTGCCTGAGACACAGAAAAACCAGTGCATAATGAGGATAACAGGGTGTAGAGAGGGCAGGCTGAATGGCTGTCTCTAGATTTGAGTGGCTGTCTCAACAGCAAAGCTGAAGGGAATTTTGAGAGAGTAAACAACATGGACTGTGGATCCGCTTACAACCCAAAACCGCTCAGTGAAGAAATATGTTAGGGTTGCAGATGCTACCAGAGCTGGGAGGCCATGCTAGCGCAGACACAGTTGCTTTACTGGTACTCCAAGACCAAGAGGAGATAAGTCCATCCATTCCCCCACACGTGTATCCCCACATGTCCCTCTGGAGAGCCCTTGCAAAATGTCCATGGGCTTGGTTTTTGCACAGAGGTGAAGGATTTGGTCCTTAGTTGTTTAATGTAAATTCTGGTAGTAAAATTGTTTTCCCACCAAATTATTTTGCTTTAAAAAAATTAAACTGAAAATGTTTTTGTCTGAAGCAGTATTTTAGTTCATAGCTAATAGGAACACTATGAATTTATAGTATGTCATCTAGGTATTAACATTAATATTTACTTCCATTCAGGAATTCCTTTAATATACGT